TAATGGAAAGAAGAGGGTAAGATTTGGCATGATAGAAGCTAAAAATTAAGCATAGAGAGAAGATGACCACTCAGGAGCCAAGGCGGTACCAATTAGTTAGAAGGGAAGCCTTTCATCATTCTTGGAAGCCATTTTGAATGTTAGATGACATTGGTGGATTTAGACTGGGATAGGTATCAGCCGATCTGATTCCTGGTCGATCCGATATGATCTGGAGACCTTTTTGTAAGTCTTAAGAAACATCCACCAGCCGATTTGATCGGATCCCAATGCAGTTGGGATTATAATTCGCTACACATCTTGACTGAACGCCACATTTCCCATTGATCCCCAGAACTGGTTCTCTACGGTTCTACTTGACGTAAATCAGCATGCCAGATCACCTTTTGCCGACGCATCGTTTAGCACCAATCACGTGCTGCTGCTTCAGGCTGCGGCTTATTAAATCCACCTTTCATCTATGCAATAATAGACACAGAGGTGGGTTTGATAGAACCCCAGGGACAAAATCCTCTTCCCATGAGAACCGCTCCTCTAGAGGCCACGACCATTATTTCCGGAGCATCGCCAATATGTGGGGAACCATGACAGCCACCTCTACTCACCGCACGTTCGAACGTGTACCAACGACGATCGCAGACGGAACAGTATATTAAGAGAAGAGGCTCATCAGAAGAGGCAGGAAGGAAGAAGTACTCGGCGTGTCGGGCCAATCGAAGCGCCCGTGTTATCATGAGAATCTGTCTTGTTGCGTCATCATTGTTTCATCATCTACAGTGCTCAATCATTTCTTCTCCCCTCTCACTTATTATTTCATTCTCTCGTGTCTCCCGAGCGTCAAAAAACCACCGATTATCTACTGTAGCTACTGTTCCAAAACCGGGGTCCTACCAGAGTTGAACCCAAGTGACAGAAAGAGAGAGAGGAAGAAGGAAGATGGGGGGGGCTAAGAGGAAACTTGCTTCCGTGTGTCTCGGTGCTCGCGGTAATTCTGTCTTTATCCTTGTTCCCGTATCCAGTCATAACGGGATCGTTTCGTTCCCCAATCCAAACTAGGTGAGAGTTCTCCGGCCATATAGTTCCTCCGTTTTAATCTTCCTGGGTCACTGATGTATTCTCTCTGTATGAAGGCATCGAGAGGCGAGCCTCGGACATTATAGAATGCTGCGACAACTGTATTTGTGGGTCGTCATGGTGCTTCTGCGGCGATCGGATGGAGAGCGACTGCACAACCGGATGTCACGACTGTCGATTTGACTACCATCGCTTGCTGCTTTACTACTGCCCCCACCAATGTCACGACTGTGCGGACGCTCTAGATCACTGCCCCGACCAATGTGGGTCGGTGTCTGCCTGCACCTCCCAGCGAGCTGGGGCACCACCACCTACAGTTTGAGCCTGAATGTTATCTTACGTGGGAGGAACCCCACCACCGGTATCCTTAGATCTGCATTCGTCCGTTCAGAGCTGGATCCGTTCACTCGTCCGCCAGTAGTGTGAAGGGCGTCCACATTGAACGAAACTTCTGAATGGTTCGCCCTGAATAGATCTAAGTTCTCTGGTTTTTATCCCTAAAATACTCCAGTAATGAAGGAAAAGGCTCCTCTTCAGCAGTTGCCATTTCTCTGAACATGAGAAACAATTAATATTTACTCCTGTAATTACTTCTGTATTATAAAAAACTATAGATACAACATTTGAAATCCATGAAAGTCATGAAGTGCCTTTCGATGCGAAACATCCATTTGAGTAAAAGGGATACTCTGGCAGACAAAATTGTATTTGTAACTTGGATGGACAAGGCAGTATTAATCATAATAACGTTGGTTAACCCTAGAAATTAATTGATTCTAATTATTTAAGTAGATAATACGGAAACATCTCCCAACCAGTACCTTATGAACCTACACAGCAGTAAGTGTACCCTTATTTGCACAAGATAGACAGTCCTTTGAATGATGGGGTCTCATACGCATGAAACAACCCTGTGTCGGTTAGTCATCTTGGCAAATAGTGGTAGCCACCCTAGGCCCCCCTTGGCCCTTGGCCCTTGGCCCTTGTCCCACTATGCATGAACGTACAACGACACATGAGACAGCAGAAACTAGTACAAGCAATGAGATTCTTCTCTAAGAACTTCTCTTCAATAAGCTGTCTTGGGGTGGCAACCTCTCTCTCTCTCTCTCTCTCCTACCCTATCTCCCCCCAAATCTAACTCTTCAGTAAGATATATTATATATGTTTGTTACCACAATCTTTTTTATAAAGTGGACAATAAGAATAACGTCTCCAAAAATTAAGAGAAAAGCCTTTATTAGAATTTTCTCAATTTATTTTTTTCCCGAAAGGAACAACCTGATGCGATGACATTTTTGGTTAAAGAAAATGTTTCTTTAATTTTTATTTCCTTTATAACCCAAAATAATAATCAGTAAATTACAACAATGTGTAATATTTCTGGTATAATACCGGGGAAGGGGTAGATGGTTTGCTGTTTGTCCAAGCGTGAAGAGTCCATTTGCGCTGGCACCCATAGGGTGGTTTGTGGAGGGCATGGGCTGATAGTAACCAATTGGATTAGAAGTTGTCTCTGGCTAACATGGCCAGCAGCGATAGAAAGAGGGCAGCCTTTATCGGGAAGTGCTTTTCACTAACATCATTTGTTTCTTATTTCCCGATTTTCTTACTTTGATGCATATTTACTAGTGTAAAAAAGGGAGGATGTTTATTTTTTATTTGATTTAAAGCCTATCAACATTTGACCATGGATCAAGTAAGATATATTGAGGTACGTTATCAAGCATGTAAATGAAAATATAACAAAGAGCTACAATAATTTTGTTGGCAATCGCTTGCATCATTTTTATAGGATACACAAGGGATAAAGACATTAATTGATTCATGCCATTGTAGGTGTGGAAAACCATAGTCCGAAAGTAGTTCAACAGCTAGTTTTATGAGAACTAGAGTAGTATAATAGTTATGACAACTATCTGGTGTTAGGTTTGTATCTGGCTGTAAATTTTGGGGAGATTAATGGAAACCATGGAGTGGCACTCTTTGAACAGTGGATTTAAGTGTGGGCTGAAGTACGCTAAATCTGTGCATTAATTGGTCTCGATTGCATTGTCTAGATCTGTATTTGTATACAGAAATGTAAGTTTGAAAATCTTAGGAGATCAATTTAATTTGATTAACTGTTATAATTTTATAAAAAGCTGTCTAATCTGACTCGTTGTTATTGTGTTGATTTTTATTTCCACTACATCTCTGAAAGCAATATTAGAATAAAGAACATTAAATGCACCCATTCGCTATCAGCCAATATGATATTAAAGTTGGAAAGCTTATTCTTGTAGATTATAGAGAATTGACGTAGAAATGTCCATCCAGCAGATTACTCAATTTGGTATGTTCACTCCTCTAGACACTATCAGCCATCTTGGGTCCTTCATAATAAAAAAAAGGCCTTTATAAATGAATTTTTCTTTTAGTTTCTCCCTAGCTTTTGATTAATGTATCCCACAATTAAACTGTACTATGATACTCCGCAAGTTTAGGATTGGCCTCTCAAAACTCGTGCTTCATTATGTTAAAGGAGGAAGCATCCTTTGATAGGACTTTCTAGGATAATGAAAGTGGTCATAGCAGCTTGATGATTAAGCCAATGTTCTCTTACTTGTCTTTAACTGAATAGTCTCTTCTCCGTTACACAGTTCACTCTAAACAATAATTTACACATTTTCTGAAAAGGGTACGCAACTTTACAGTTTTTTGAAAATGATGATCATTTGAAATAAGGATATCATGAAAATAGACTTCCTATACATACGGTTCAAATAGCTTTAGCATAATTGATTTCATGAAATTTAGAAGCCATATATAACTTTGCATCAGCCAGCAGCGGCCCCAGGCCGGTGCACCACATGTTTCCCGTTCAAAGGAATCTATAGATGAGAAAAAAATATGCATATAAGTCATCATTCAGAGGCGGATCCTTTAACACCAGTGCACTGTCCAATGATTTCAACCTGGCAGCCATTATCCAGCACTACTTCCTGGCAGCCAATATTACGGCGACTTCGCGTCTCACGGCGCCGCTAAGGAGACCAAAGGGTTTAACGGAAAAAGGGAATTTTTCTAACAGCCCTAAGGTAGATAGAGAATAGTTTTCTCGCTCAATGTATACCGGTTTTAATATAAGTTCGACAAACCAGGAGACAAAGTCTTAACTGGTCCACCTCCTCGGCTGCCTATCTATCCATGTGTGTTCAGGAAACGTCGGGTTCAAGCAGGGAAACTTACAACCAACTCTCAAAACCTTAAGACCGAAGTCTTCATTTAAAATTGGTCAGGATGTTACATCACCCCTGGATTCCGGTTAGGAACAACCTGGTCGGCCGATATCTAAGGAGCAGTGTCGGCTTGGCCTTGCGAACAGGGTCTAAAAGTCGGCAGCTCTCCATGAGCGAAGGCAAGGGCTATGGGCAAGCCGTCGAAGGGACCGGGGGAGGGGTGCTTTTGAGAAGATGATTTCCACTGCGAGGGGCGGTTTAGTTGAACTCCAGGACAGAATCGAACACTCTTCAAAGAAAAAGATCACTTGTGCAAGAAAATTTTAGTCGGGGGTATTCTCGGAATATAATGAGGAAAAAACAATAATCAGCCCAAAGTCTTATTAAATTTTATAAATGAAATTTTCATGAAAATGTTTATCCGTAAATCGGCGCACCAGTTGAAGTGGCCTCTCATATTCCACGCTGCCAATGAGAAAAGCAATGAACATAAGGAATCACCCGGACCAGCATTCAATCGTCCAAACTACCACGGATTCCGTCTATAACGTAAATACAATCATCTCAATATGTCCACTGTTAAATCCTCTCGACGTGTCCACAACTAGTTGGTACAGCCTGTACCCAACTATAAAACAGGGGACGAGGTGGTCTCTAGTGCAAGATATACAGAGATACTAGCGAGAGCATAGGGAGAAAGGGGAGATGGAGGCGAAGAAGAGCCTGACGCCGTCTGCGCTGGTGCTGGCGCTGGCGCTGGTTGCATGCACGGCCTCATGGGCCATTCCGGCGGCCGCGCGGGATCCCTTCGGTGACCTCTCCGGCACAGGTGAGAGTCCACCGTTGCGTCGACTTCGTTGCCATTTTCCCGCCTGACTCTGGCTGGTCTCCCGCCCTGAAGGCACGGGGAGGCGGGCGTCCGGCGCGCTGGAGTGCTGCGACTTGTGCATCTGCGGGTTTACTTGGTGCACCTGCGGCGACCGGACCGAGAACTACTGCAACCCCGGATGTAAGCGTTGCCAATCTGACTTTAGCAGCTGGCCGCCTTACATTTGTGCCGACACGCTACACTACTGCCCCGACCGTTGCGGCTACGTAGCGGCCGGCTCCGCCCAGGGGAACCGCGCGACGACGGCTTCGCTTAATGCTGGAAGCTCAGACGAAGAGAACTTGGGCGTGGGCTCAGCAGCCTGAACGGTTCCCAAGCGTATTCATGGCGTTTTTCTTGATACATAATAACCCATCGATACCACTGCCCTGTATCCAGTTCGATGACGAGTCTATGTTTAACAAGAAAAAGTTTTTATCATCCTTTTAAATAAGATAGATGTGATCAAGGGTGTCTGATTCATATTGCACTAGGTTGAGATTCTTTTGCATGTGGCTTGATTTCTTGTGAGTGTATGATGATTGCATGTCCGTGAACAACATGTGTCAAATCTAATATCATGACGGGGCTTGAGTTATGAGAGGAAGGCAGCCGTTCGTGGTAGGAGTCGTTTTTCTTGTAGACCGCTTGGGAGTCTGAGTGATCAAGCTCTTATCTGACAAATGAGATGACATTCGTTCCCTCTAGCTTTTCCATGTGTTGGGGTTTTATGTAAATCTTGTGTGCGCTGTTGTGTGTGATCTTCTCTTCCGTTTTCCTTCTCCGTTGTCGGTAGCTTATTGTCTCTCTCTCTCTCTCTCTCTCTCGCTCTCTCTCTCGCTCTCGCTCTACATTTTAGTTCGCAATTGTGCCTATTTACCACACTTTTTTAATCCCCGCATAAAACGGATGGCCGTTGGGAAAGCTCGCATCCCCCATTCAGGAAACCTGAATCCAGGCTCTAGATCATTAGGAACAAATCCTTAATCCAGAAACCCACCCTTCCGACTGTTATCAAATATTAAATGCAACTGTCATGATTAATTGGGCTATGCTGATAAAATCTCCCCCCGGTATGCAACCCGGCTACATGATGAGTGGGCCTCATGTTTCGACACTTCCATGTTGATCTCTTCCCGGCCGTCTTATTCGTTAATAAATCGACTGTTCGTTCAGCTAGGAGCGAGAAAAGAATATTTTGAGGCACTAGATCGGAAAGCCAGAAGAGCTATAGGCCACATCAGAAGCAGAGCAATAAGGCCCTTCCCTATCCGAAAGGCCTTCTCTCATATCCTCAGCCGATTTAGGAAATATTCTCTCATCCACTATTGTAACAAGTAGTTCTAAAAGAGACTAGCATTTAGTGTATGAGAAACTGTTTTGTTACTAACTTAAATTCTTACCTAGTCAAAATAAAAGCTTCTTCTTGCACAACATCTTATAAGATCTAATCATAAGCATCTGAAAATAGATGAAGATAAAATGTAAAATCAGATTAGTCCCACACATGTCAGGTAGGTGACCCTATTTGACCAATAACTAGAGGATAAAATAACTCTAAAACTTAAACAATATCAGGTTGAACGAACAAGTAGTGTTGTGAAAAGTTTGAGGCATTTAATAGTAGCTTAAACAAGGTTGCACTAGACATTAAAAAAAGAGTCATAATTGATGAGCATGCACATTAGTATACGTAGATGGGCATGGGATGGAACAAGTGGAAGAAAAAGTGATAGGTAGAGTTGGGTGCACTGATTATACTTTATTTTTATATAATAATTATGGTAAAATTGAATTAATTGTCACCTGAATCAATATAAAATAATAATTTTCAATGTTAAAACGCATTAATACTAGTTTGGAAATTATTTGATGAATTTGGAAAAAAGATTTTTCTTGAATGTTTTGGAGAATTTAAGAAGTGATTCTTCAATAATTTTTCAATAAGTTAGAAATTGTCAAATAATTGACCAAAATATATTGATTTATGGCCACATCAGTAGGGTATCAAGAGATTTATGAGTCATCTTAGCATAAGTCAACGAAGCAAGTGGTCAAAATTTTAAACCATGTCATCTATGTATATGTTAGCATTCATATTCCGACCAAACAATGAGATGAAACATGGAGAATTCCTTATTTCCGGGCAATTGTTGAGATTTCTGAGAACAATAATCCAAGAAAAACTCAAAGGAAGGTTGAGGAAGATGTTGTGATGGAGAACAGGCCATGAGTTAATCTTTTGATCATTCTTGGGTGAGTTCTCTCTGAGTGATAGTTGGGAAGGAACAGAGCAACGGTGGGTGTTTCTGAACTTGATTTTTATTTTGATTGTGCTTTATTTTCATTTTGGTTTATTATGTCTTCTAGGAGATAGACAAATGACAGGATTGAGGCCTTCATTCTATTTTTTTTTACCACTTTTTCAATTGATTTCGCATCAAATTTTGCTTCCACAATGATACTATGTTTTTAGGTGATAGATGAGCAATAGCGGGAGTTTATGAATTCAATTTCTATTTTGATGTTATTTTATTTTCGTTGTCTTATTCTGTCATCAGGGTGATAGCTAGGGACAGAACTGAGCCTTTCAATTCACATTTTTAGCATTTTTTCAATTTATTTTTTCATTCAATTGACATTCTGTGATGATATTTTGTTCCTAGGTGACAAACATAGAGAGTTCATGCATTGATTTTATTTTTTTAGTTGTTCTTCCTGCGTTTTTAATATTTTTGATGAAAATTAGCTTCATTAGGATCATTAGAACTCATTTAGTTTGAAATATTAGTTGAAATTTAAAAAGATTTGAATCAAAATCGTTTTCACATTTCCCCACTAGCAGATAATTTGTTTCTTATCCTTTTCAGTAATTTTTTTGTGATTTTAATTTTATTATAGAAAGTTAACTTTTTTGCAATCATTAGATACCATTTTGTTTTAAAGGATTACTAACTTTTTATAAGAATTTGACTCAAATCATTTTCCCATTTCGCCATCAGCAAGATGACCCTATTGGGGATCATATTTTATCTTTCCTCCCCTATGTTTCCTTATCTAAGCTTTATTTATCTTTTTTTTCTTTATTTTTTGTGATTTCTTCCACCATTTTTGCCAGAAATTTTTGCAGCTCTTAAGTCATCAATTAATTCTAACCTAGGCACACATCAAAGCTTCATGATTTAAAACTCAGAAGTTGGTGACAACATCATATGGCATCAAAGGAGGTCAAAATGCAGAGAAAATTATTATTAATTTTTTTTATGTTAGCAAAATGTTCAGAATAGAAAATAAATATTGAGAGTGACCATCCTGAATTTAACAAAGTTTAATTTTAATTATTTTTTTAATTTTATTTATAAAGATTTAAAAATTGATCATTTTGACAACAACAATCAAAGTGATATTAAATTCTTAGTGCCATTGTTGGAAATGATTGTGCTAAATACACAATTAATATTTTGTTTATTTATTTGATTATTGATGTGCACTTGTCATTGTATTTAAATACACATTATCTAATAATATTTCTAGCTAAGACTTAATAAGATATCAATATAGATGTAGGTCTTACATCAAACACGAAGATATTGATTAGTTTGTCATGAAAACTAATTTAGTTTATATATAGTGATTTTAATATTTTATTACTACTTAACAGAAATAATAAAATAGAAAGACAAAGTGAGAAGAATAAAGAAAGGGGAGAGAATAAAAGAAGTACGAAAAGTGAGAGAGAAGAGAGAGCTCTCACAGAAGAGAAAGAAGAGATCTATTGTGAAAGAGAGAAAAAGAGAGAGGATGAGAGAAACTCACATGAGATGGAGAGAAATAAATGTCTCATGAGAGAGAGGGAGAGGAAGAGAGGGAGATAGGTCAAGAGAGAGAGATAGAGAGAAAAAGAGGTCTCACAAGAGAGGGAGAGAGAAAAATAAGACAATATTAAAGAAAGAGACAAATATGGTCAAAGCCATTTTTATAGTGACCATGATTGTCGGACTAATGTGCACTTGAAATTTATACACCTAACATGAGGTCAACCTTGAATGTCTCTACCTTATTTTAATAGTTGAATGATTATCAAGTAACCTTTAATCTTGTTGATTTCGTATTCAAAAATAGAAAAATACTCATTATTCGTAGAATACCAAGAACATGAATACATGAAGATTTGACTATAAAAATTAATAGAAAATAAGTTATAAATAATCTTAGCTTAATCTCAAATGAGTTTTGGAGCATTCATAAAGTGAACAAATATCATTCATCTCAATTTGAATTAGTTTTACTCATTTCAATCAAAATATACATGACACAAAATACTTTACTGTAAAATATAAATAAATATTGAAACTACGTAAATAGATAACAAAAGTAGAAAAAAAATATTATCCAAGCTTAGTCTGTGATAAGGCTTCATTATTATTAGTTAATAATTAACTAATAACATAATTTTATCCTTAACTCATGAGAAATAGACATATTTTTGTTAAATTAGAAAAAAATAGTTTTTTATTTATAAATTTAAATTTTTGACTAACTATATAATTTTATGTGAATTTATATAACTTTTATAATCCTATCTTTGAGATAAATGAAGAGTAATAACAAAAATAAAAATATTGGTCAGTCAACTAGGCTTGCAAGCAAGTTAGAAGCACAATTGGGTAGAGCCATGAGTAGGGGCTCGAGCGGGTAAGGATATAAGGGACATATGTGCATCACTCCTCTTCCACATCATTAGTGGCTAGTTAGGAGTGTGACCAGAAGTTGTCATACACATGCGAGAAAGGGACATTGAATACCAAATCATGTATTACTATATATCTACCCCAAAACTCAGTATATAATCAATGTGAGACTAAACCCATATACACAGCCTCTTTAGATGGTTTTAATGATTTTAATACCTAAAATACTTCTTGTTTATCAAAAGAAGATACCCTTATGATGTCACTTTATAAGGGTATTTGTATACTTATTTATTCTCTCTCATGCATGCAGATGATCGATGAGGGTTGAATCTTATTAGAGCCACAACTCATATTTTTATCTAATTAAATCATAATTTTCTTAGCTATTTCAGATGAATGATTAAGTTGTTAGAATCTCTCAATTATTGATGAAACATTTGTCAACACGATTTGCTGAGTATCATTACTAAAATTGTTGAATAATTGTAGATAAAAAGATTGTAAAATCTATCAAGTAAATCATTTTTGATTGATCGACGAGCATACTAGATGTGATAAAGAGCCTCCTCTTGCTGTGTAGACCTAAGGATGAAGCTCCCTAAGATATGCCCCACCTCCATTCAACTCATCTA